CAAATTTAGTATTTTTTTATGGACACTGTAGTTTGAATTATGCACAAAAATTTGCTTTTTTGGTCAAAAGTGATTTTAAAAAAATAGCTCCTAAACCATGCTTCTGTTTCTTGTCAAAATTGGTTTATGGGTACATCTGTTTACTATGAAGAAATCGCCGTCTTGAAAATTGTCTACCAGTTGTCAATTTTGCAGGGCAGCAGCCCAAATTTCACTACTTCAAGTTTATGCATAAATTAACACCCAGGCTAGTTGTATGTACGATTGTTGTAATCACTGTTCAACCAAAAACAATGCCCCGACGGCGTTTTGAAGATAAACACATTGTCAATCATTTGTGAAAATTTCAAAACAAAAGGTCAAAGCGTCTAGGAGCTATTTTTTCCTGGGATGTGCACTAAAAAGAAGCTGAGATAATTGCTAATTTGCATGACAATTCACTCAGTAAGAAGTTAGTTAATGCTCGTAATTAAAATGGCTGTAACAGTTCCAAATTTAAATGTATTATCGTTTTGTTAAAAGTTAAATATAGTGCATAATATGGAGATCTCGTCATTTCTTTTTTTCACCATGTTTCTTTTTTATTATTTATGTACAGCCTTGCTAAATCTTGCTAAGCATTCAAAAGAGAGAATTTTTGCATCTGTTATCTATATTTTAAAATCGTTTTTTGAGTATGTTCCACTATTCACAATTCTACAAAATTTTAACAGTCTATAGGCAAGACTGTTTGGATAATAAAAAGCCAAAAAAAAAAATTCACTCCCAAGTGCCCACAAACATGCCTCTCTACCTTAATAGGTGTTTAAAGGCGTTACGTTTGAAGAATACGGTAATCTTAACGATATATGAGACTGTGTAATTTCGATGTAATTCCCCTTTCCTGTAACAACTTTTCCAACTGTTACTTCACTGAAATTGATTTTACACTGGCCGATAAAACTATTGAATGAATAAAATACGCATTAGCAACAAACCTTGAGTGCAGTGACGTCTGCCACATTGATGTACTAAACGAATAAAACCAAGACAAACAAACGTTGAATATTGAAAGTCGCAAATTGAATTGTTTTATTTGATATTGTTATTTTATGCATTATGAATACATGTAATTTTGTAAATGACATTTGTTTCCTGTAAACATTGATCTTTGTTTTCTAATTTGCATATGTCTTGTGTATGTCTTGCATCGTCTTCATATCTATAACAGAACATGTGGTTCTTGGTTTATTTATGAAAAAAACACTAAACTTACACACTAACAAGACAAGAAATATGTTAGTGAACTAGTTTGCCTAGTTTTGGTAATTTGTACCTACACTTTTTTAAAAACTTCAGTTTTGTCACCAATTGATAATACAGTCCACATATCATGAAATTTCACCGGCCACGATGTTGTATCTACATGCAAAACAAAATCCTCACAGAGAATTACCCTAAAGTAACTAGATATACCGTCTTTAATTCCCTCACCATTGTTTCAAAAGGTCCACCTCTTACTAAAATCATGAGTGCTAATAATTACTGACAGTAAAGTAACACATAATGTTTTGTGTCTCTGAACATGCAAATTTCCCCATGCGACTTGTGCATGTTATTTCTACCAAAAGGCATATCTTGTATTTGGTTTCCTTGATGATGTTCTAACATTGACCCGTTTGCCACACTACTGAACACCAAGGTGGAGTCACAACAATCATGCTCAGATCAGAGCTTATATCGATTATACTTATTGTCGATCTATTGTATATTCCTCTGTGCCACAGCTATTTGATTGACTCTATTGTACAGCTAATACCGATAAGTAATTGTCCTTTATAAATTAATCACTCGAGAAAGCACCGTACAAGCCTTAGGCGACTGATTTTTTTCTACTCGCCTTTGTCTCAGGAAAGAGATATAGCAAGTAGTACAGTCGTGAGCTTTATTCTTTGCAGACAAGTTGAGTGAACTCTGGGTAACTTTGTAAACTAATCACCTCTTTAACAAGTTATCCCTATTCCCATCCTGGAAATGATACCAATCGCTGATTCAAGTTTGGCATTATGACCAGCGAACTCTCAAGATCTAGTTCATACAACTTAATATGCTTATTTGGTGAATGTGCGTCTATATAACACATCTTGATCTGATTTACATACTAAGTTCACCTATCATGCTATGTTTGACAAATCAGAAGTGTTAATTATCCACTTAATTGCTGTTATAATTAATCATGTCACGGATTTTTAGTAGCAGTCATTTTTGAGGGAAACTATATTTAAGCCCGCCCTATTGTAGCTATATTTAAGCTTTGTCAGGTTCAATATTATTGGCTCTAACCTGTATGTATGATTAATTGATCTCATACGTTAGACTCAAACATAACTTGTTTAAATTGTATGAATCTAATCGTACAAATGTACGTTAGTATTTTAGGAGAATAAAATTAACTAGTAACTATTGAGGTCGTATTGTGTATTATAACACGACATATCAAGATTATGTGCCATTGACAGTGGTCACGTGATTAATTATTGAATTTTAAAGTGACGTCGCCGCGCATGCGTATGAACCTCTGCTTAAAAATGACGACCTTGCATATTCGTATCGAAAGCGAATTGGCTGGATTAGTATCCAAACATTTTACAATGGGATAAGAACACTTTTGTTTGGCTTTACCACATTGTGAAACTACTGCACCGAAGTCGGCACTCCCGTGGAGGTATAAGTCGCACCGAACGTTGCGTGTTTCTGTACCAGCGTCTAAGCTGAAATACGAACTGCGGACAACTAATAGTGTTATTATGAATTGAATTATATTTACCATACTTGTGTTAAAGCGGGAGGGTCGTCACCTGCGCACGCGCGGGAATTGTGTCTCGGGCGACGATAACAACACACGCTAAAAACGCAAAGGCTCATGGGTAGACGCTTGTTTGTAAACAATGACACGCTATGGCCATTTGACGCATGCGCAGGTGACGCGTCTCCCGCTTTAAGCGTTCACTGTTAACTGATTGATTCAAGATGAATATCAGAATCTGGGTGTGTTGTGTTATAAAACGCAATAAATCCATATTTAGACGTATGCTATTGCCCGCATGCCTAGTCAATATGTGTTCATTAATTCCCCATAAATAATTATGCCCGTCCATACTGTTGAGCGATATGCTATACACCCCCAAGGTTAGCTCATATGTTGTCAAATTGTGGGTACGACATTGGCTATTATAAGGGGTGATGGATATGTATTCTAAAGCCACCTGTTCCCAATCGGTCGGTAGAAGGCGTACCTTGGGTTGCTACAATTCTTAGACCCGAGCAGGATTTATGTCGGGCGAAAAAACCCGAACTTTGTCTGAAAGGGACTAATTCACGAAAATAAGACTAGTAGCGGTCGTCGATCATTACTATTATCTGTGTTACTTTAAACATATACAGCGAACATTTTAATGTCAGAAAATTGTTTTGTGGCCGAAATTATTTTTGAATTGTTCCATCGTATCATGAAATGCGAAAACATTTTGCTCACATAGACTACATATTTTCTGATATGATGTTGCAAGTTATCGACCCACCACAATCATAAATTCATGACATCAAAGACTTTCACCCAAAACACCAGTTCTAGTGTTTATTAGTGTCTAAGAGCATCTAAGCACATGTAAGCAAACAGTTGCATTGTATACCAAATCGGAAAAATATTACCGATATTTATACTTATCTTGACCAGAAATACGACCGATACTTCTATGTAACACCCCCCCCCCCCGGCAGAGCAGACGACGTTTCCCAAAATTGAAATCCGCTGTTATTTCTCTTCCATTTTTAAATAGTTTCTCCTTTATTCTTTTTCAAAAACAACATTATATTCATATCCATGGTCAATAATGGAATACATCATCGCGAATAATCTGCTGCAATGACGTCATAAAATCCACTAGTATTGATAATGCTTAATATAATATATAATAATATTTCCTCTTCGCCCACAATACAGCCTTCAGTAAGCAGTGGCGGCGGCACGGGGTGGGGCAAAGAAGGCGGCCACCCACCCGAAAATAATATTGGGGGAGGCGCCCCCCCAAAAAAATTAAGCTGAAATCTGTTGTGCCAGGAAAATTTGCCCCTTCAAAATGCAGGAAATAGCGTTTCAGAGGGTCTAGATTTCAGATCTCGCCGCCTCTGGTAAGCGCCATATTTTGGAACTCTGGTGACAGATTGGCATGACGTCATGTTACATAATTTACATTCAATCTGTATTAAATTTAAATCCTGGTATTTATTATACAGGTTACTCCCGTCGACACGGCGTAGTGTTTAACGACGGTATTAATGAGCAGATGGAGATGACAGGCGGCGTATCGTCGGGTCCAGATACTTCAGGCTTCCAATTACACGTGAATATTACGAGTATGTAACATGCCGTACCTACCAGAACTATGCTGACAAGTTCGTGTGTTCATAAAGTTCAAAGTTCAAAATAAAAAGTATAGTACATTTTCTTAAACTGATTTTTGCGATTATCTCTTTTTAAAAAAAATCAGAAAAGTGAAAAGCAAGTCTGAAAATAACGCAATAAACGGGATCCGTATCCATCACATCTGACAGCTGTCTGGTGTTCACACAATTAGCAGAATAATCAAGCTATTCAGTGAAAACTTGAATATTGATTTCGGTACTGACCTAAACCAACTCAGAATCATCCCTGCGTTCACAGCTCTGTATCGATAGTAATCATTTCACTCACGCGCATGACGTCACAGATCGAGCCGCGGATTGACGCACAGTATGACGGGATTTATCCATCAGTTTTGATCGTTGTTGTATGCGTGCTATACGACAGTTCTCATTAACATCTCGTCAGTGTTGCGTTACCGCGGTAACCGATTGTCCCTCCATCAATTATCAGTCGACCATGGTAAACCTGGGATTGTCCTCAAACTTTATGGAGCCGTATTTTAACGTTGACAACACTGTGTTCTGTCGAGTACACGTGTCATAACTGTGCCGGTCGAGTCGATGATCGTTTGTTGCCAACCCGGTTGTACTCGCCCGCAGTATAGGGGCGTGTGTGATTACAGCTGCTGCAGTAGTAGACGCATCAACATAATTCAACACCCTGGCGTTGGTATTTGACGATACATCCTGATGTTAGCCCGGTCTCTCGGGGTGTAAAATGTACCTTGGCATTCAAGTGTACTCGGGTGGGTGCAATGAGCACATCGTGCCCTTTTTATATCTGGCAGCCCGTTGTTTCCTCCTTTGCGTCTTCGCGGTCAACGTTGAATCTACGACTACAGTATCAACTCCAACAACATGTAAGTAAAGACGTGTTTATTATTTTTGTATACGCACACAAATAATCTGCGGCTATCGAAATAAACGACATTAGTTTTAAAAGTTTGTATGTGTTGTAGCCTTAAATACCCCATGCTGGCCTCGCTGGTATGAAATCGAACACTATGTCCTTCGGTGTCTGTGACATGTGTCGGCTATGGTATTTTTAATACATGTATACAGTTTATTTGTATCATTGAATGCAGAGTTCGTACACCAATTGTACCAGGAAAATTTAATAAATATGGATAACAGAATCGCTAATGCAGCTAACTTTTGGAGGCGGTGGAGAATCGACAGCTGTATAGTAGCATATATTGCTGTTTTATTTAACACGACATAAAAAGTAACCGATGTCATGTTCAGAGAAAAATGGGGAAATAAAATATTCTCCACAAGAGGATGACAGTATATTGGAATGTTGAAAATACACAGACTGGTCAGCTGTCGGCGTTAAACTGTCTATTATTATAAAGTCAGTAATTCATTGTATCACGCACCCGCTGACACGACATATTATATGGACCTCTTTCCTTGCTAGCTCTTATTACTTTTAATGTGTAACTGAACATAAAACAAACAATATTGTGAGAGTTTAGATTTGTATAATAATTTTGTATGCGTAATATTTCGATGAATTCGGCGTATAAACCACATTTCCCAGTACGCGTATACATATATACGATATTTGTTATATATATTTAGATTATAACAGTTTTACACATAAATGCGCTGTGATGTATGTGATTATTATCGATATCGATCTTTTTGTAATCGCGGTGTGGTTATTTATAGTTCTCAGATGAATACACTGTTTTTTTTTTATTGTTTTGACATTTTAAATCATACTGCAGTTCACACGTCACGTCCTAATTGATGACGACATCACATTCCATCAATGAGATCACTACTCAATACTCAGATTCACCCAGCACCGTGTCAACACAAATTTTCGTAAAGTGTTTAGGGTAGATCAATAGACCATCATTATGCAAACACGGGTAATCCGAAAAAAACAACTTTTTTTTCTGACATTCTAAATTTGAAAGTGTATTTTTTCGTTTATTATAGTATTACACCTTCCTTCTTATAGTCCTGTGTCTTTGACAACCTGAAATTTATAACTATTGGCAATATTTCCGATTCATTAATTTGGTGTTTGTAATGCATGCCAGAGCTAAATCCACTGGTCACTAGGAATTCGTTTCAAGAATACCCAATAATGCCGTCGCTCTGGTCGTTCTATATATCCTCCTCAGCTACCCGCGGAACACACGGCCTTGTATTAATATAATAACTGATGCTCGCTTTCATGATCATCCGTGATCATCAGATAGTTCAATTACAGCGACATAGTCGCCATACAGCTTGTATGGCTTCGGTGAGTTACACTGCAACGCTCGCAAATTCCTAGCTAGTATTTACGGATATGATGGACACATAAACGAAGAGAAAGATATCGTTAAAATTAAAATCGTCTTTGCGCACACAATGGGATGCAGTCATTATGATCTATAAATGTGCGCGTGTTTTTTATGATACTCCCACAAGCGAAATAAAGTTATTTATGAGTCGGCAGACCATTTCATCGAAATCTGTACCATTCTGAAATCACACCAACGTGAAATCTTAACATAAAATCCCAATATACAGTTTCGCGGTTACCCATTTCCAAACTGGTTCAAGAAAAGTTCCAGAAACAGTGACTGTATACACAATGGGAGTAAACTATTTGTCGTCATAGAAAGCAGAGAGACAACTTCATCCAGTCCAGTCTATGGATATTAATTCCGCATTGAACTAAAAAGAATTACTAAAATGCACTGGATGCAGTAACACGTGTCACATCATTATATATTACTATCACGTTGCGTCACATACTGAGTTAAAATGTAACAATTTCCCATGTTGCATTGCGATTAGCCGTGATTTATTATAAGACGCATTATTATTAGCATAAATCTGACGCGTGGAGAATGGGGTTCCGCCGTAGAGTGACTGTGCGTCAGACGAATTAACTTAGCGTTTAAGTCTAACCAATTTACGACAATGGACGCCGCCATTCCGTACACCAGTTCTGCCTCTTTGTTTGTGCGGTTCAAAGTCAGTATCATGACCAAATTCCGTCTTTAGCGGCTACCAAAGTACCACAACTTGCACGTCAGTCTGTCTTACCTATATGATCTTTCGAAAAGTTCGAGAACATCGGCCCAGGAAAGTGCTAAGGATTCTCAAAGAATATGCTTTACAATATTTATAAAATTTCATCTATGAGTTTTAGGATGCGGTGAACATAGACTGCCACTCTTTAAATTACGTACAGGGTGAGATGTCCTATAGGCAAATAATCTGAAGGTGAAAGTTTCGATATATCGGGCTATATTATTCACTTCCTGTGTGAACGTTTTGCAACTTACATATAAATAATGAAATAATGAATCCTAATATCAGATATCCATGTTTTCTTATTTCTAAACTCCGACTCTTCAATACTAATATATATATATATATATAACGACGGATATTCACTTAGAACATAGTTGTTCGGCGATCTGTCACACCAATGAAATATCTACATACTAGTATTTGGTAAACTCTGCACAATCATATCGACTCGGACTGAAACCAAAAATTTCAGCACTATAAGCGAAAAATTGACAAAATTGTCAAATACATTAAAGTTCAAAGGACAAATTTCATTAATCGTTCTCACCTTGGTAGCTGCTGACCACTTCAGTCTTACAAGAAAATACTACTCCAAGATCTTTTTAATGTGTAATTACTTAGTTCTTACTGACTTGACCTGACTCTCATTTTCCACTTGTCACAATACATACTCAGTTTGTCATAAGACTATTGTAACCCAATTACAGTGTCCGAAAAATATAGCTACGAGCAGAATAGTTCATATAGATCCGAATAGAGCTGAATAACACGGTCGTCGCGTTGATGTACTTCACATGACAATTGTTTTATGAAAAAAGGAAAAAAAATCTCTCAAAATACTAACACGGCGAACGTATACGGGGCAATCAACTCCTTTAAAAATAACAAACCACAGTCGTTGCTCCATTGTGTCAGGTACATTTAGTTAGAGAAATTGAAAATTAAGGTTTGCCTTAAACCGGCCTGTGCTTCATCGATTTTTCAAGTGCTTCCCCAAAACACGACTTGTAAAAATAATTGAGCCAAACATTTTACAAAATCACTGAAAAGAAGATTGTGGTAACATTTTCCGGGTCGCCAAACTTTGTGACAATTTCCCTTGACCAGATTTACATATTTGATTGAAGATAATATTTGAATGTCGGACCCAAATGAGGACGGAATGTTGAAATATTTTTTTCTTCTTTAAATCAATTTGGCCAGCGATTTATAATTCTTATAATGTATAATTACTATTTTACCGAGACTCATATGCGTGTTCACATTTTGTTCACAGTCCGTGTAACACTGAAACATTTGAGGTTCCATAAAGTAAATAAGGAATTATTTCATATATTCATGATAATAACATGTCCCCGGGAAATGTTTGTTTCTGTTTGCCCATATTAGTGTCCATTTCGTACCAAAACTATTTGACGTAATATGACACGTTTCAAACTTAGTGGTTGTGGTATCGTTTGTTTTACATATTTTAGAAGAGACACTTCCAGTTTGGCATGATCAAATTTCGCTAATAACACCGCCCTAAACAAACGATTTAGTATTCAAATCAACAAACCGAATCCAACGAATCCCGTGGAACACAATTTAAAAATATATATATTTTTTTTTTCTTGCAGATCCGACTGTTGCATCTGAAAATGTCACCGATTTCGTAGAGAACTCGACATTGATAGTGAACTCAACTACTACTACAGTGACGAAACAGCACACTGATGATAAGCTACGACCTGTGGATGTAGTTACGATTGTTGTCTGTGTTTGCGTGTTTGGATTCGTCTTCTTCGTCGTTGTTGGCGTATTGACTTACTTGCACTACAAGATTGGCAAAGCGAGACGTGTCAGCTCAGCGTCAGTAGCATCGCACTACCCACCGCCTTGAATCGAAATAGGACTGTCACTTATAAATGGGACATCTCAGTACCAATCAATTAAAGTCTGGTTTGATCTCGCCATTCTGGAAGACCAATGGTCTAAACCAGCCGTGTATCGAATTCAACCACGTGTGCAAAACATGCCATCATTACAAATACGAAGAAAAAAGAACTGCGAGCAAGTTAACTACAATGATGTACTATGCAGGTAACATAGGTCTCTTTGTAAATAAGCATTAGTTAAGGGGCTAGTGAGATAACATAAACTGAGCTGAACTGAAGTGCTGTGAGAAAAGTACAACATTTCTGATCGTATCAGCTGACAATAATATCTCTGGCATCACTTACAATGTTTAGTAGGCCTTGGGATGAGCGAATATTTCCCCAAGGTCAATGAGACTATGACGTCAGTAGTATGTAATCGTCTATACGTGACGTAAATTACAATTTTACATGTGCAATTTCATAAACTTGTAT